GACCCCCCCCCGGACCCCCCCCTCAAAGGCTGTACGGTGTGCTGTAAACAACACCTGACGTCTGGAAACAAACATGCCGTACCACCATCGTTCTGTGCACCTAACTGCATTTGCGCCAGTGTCTCTGTGAGCAGTGTCTGCGGATTTCTGAGCCGTTTGCTTTGGTCAAGAATGAACGAATGCCCCGTTGACCTAAGTTGAATGCAACAGCGGGCCGTCTCATGGTGATATCATCAAATATTTTATATATAAATAGTGTATAAGCTCCAAATGTTCAGCTTTATATGTGCAGAAGGCATTTGGGGCGACTTATGGCCGAAGTAATGAACCAGTACGGCCAACTGACCAATTATTCCATTTCTTCCAGGCTCAGACCCCCATTTATTCCCAAAAAAGTAATATATTACCAAAAAAACAAACACTGCTCACTGATGTTGTTGCTGTTATTACTGCTATTGCCCGAGTCCCAGCCCCCAAGGGTGTTGTGCGGGGGGTGTATTCCCTTCATGCCCGCCGGCGGAGGGAGGAGGAGGGGGGGAAAGACGAACCACTGACGATTGAAGCAGATATACCAGAGATAGACGGATAGTTTAGGTGAAGATGAATACTGCATTTGGGATTAGTTACTGACCAATGGTGGCTTGAGTAGTGGTCTTGGCGACGGCGTGGCCATAGCTAGGTTGCGAAACGAGTTACTGGCTGCTGCCAAGTTTAAAGTCCAAAGAAGGCAGATGAAAAGGCAAAGGGACGACCTAGCCGCCGCGATGAAAGGAAAGTCTTAAAGAAAGCAAGAAAGCGAAGGAAACCAACGTATCGCGAAACAAACAACACAGGGACGGAGGGCTGAGGGGGAAAGTCAGCCAGCAGTTGCGTCACATTCACATGGTTGGGATCAACGTATTGCGGGTTGCCGCGGCGGGTTGCTTAGGGGGTGGAGGTAAGGAACGAGGTGTTCTTAAGGTCTGGGGGCCCGGCACTAAGGGGGGACTGGGGAACACTTTGGGAAAGGGATTTAACTTATATTATGAAGCTGAGAAGGTGGACAACGCAACTTTTTTTGGGAAGTGTTGAGGTGATTTGACGAATTCTGGGAATTGAAAATACATGGCCCAGAAGCCATCCACTCTGTTTCACATATCTTATCAGATATCTATCTATGGAACTGAAAATCCAACTGATTCATCACGAAAACCTGAATGGTAATGAACAGTCGGTGCTGGGGGAATCAATGAGTACGCGAGTCAAGCAGTGTGTATGACCACGCGCATGGCCAGGTGGATGGTCTGGTGCTGTCTAAGGTTCACGAACGGCGGTATAACAGCGGCGGTACTATACCCGGGGAAACATGGTGTGGGGGGTAATGGGTCATGAGCACAACCATAGCTGCGGTATTAAGGAAACAGGAGAGGGCCGTCTGGTTGGCGGGGTGTTTGGAAAAAAGAGGTTTCATGGTCTGCCGTTCTTCGCCCCACTTCCCATCACTTCCCAGCCTTGGACGGTATTATCCGGAACCGCTCGCGGCCGGCCTGCATTAGGGTGTTATGGCTCCACAGCTAACAGCTGCAGCCTCACTTCCTCGCAATCTGCATGTTTACCGTGCAGTGTTCCGCCCCTCCGTCGCGTCCCTCCTATCCCCTCCTCTCCGACTGGTTAGCTGTGGCTTCCTTATACTTCTGGCGTATAAAAAGTTTTTTTAATCCTTGGCATCAGACTCACTCGTTCATGGTTCGTCCTCCCCCTCCTCTCCGCGCCCGGTCCGCCCAGGGGCGTCGTGATGCTCTTCAACGCGATAGCGACTGCACAGAAGCAAGCCAAGGCGGCAGGTGCCGGCGGAGGCGGCGGCGGCGCGGCAGCCAAGAAACCTGCCAAGCTCAGCAAGGCTTCCTTCCTGGCGCAGCTGCGGGGCACAAGTAACGGCAGCGCCGCGGCCGCTGAAGGCGGCGGCAGTGGCGTGCTGTCCGGTGCCGCCGCAGCGGCGGCGGCCAAGGACGGCAGCACCGGCGGAGGCGCAGCGGCGACGGCACCCGGGTGGAAGGTGTTGCAGGCGGGTTTCAGCGGTGTGTCAGGCGGTGGCAAGATGAAGGACTGGGACCGGAAGCCGGGGGGCAGTGACGAGGAGGACGCAAAGAACATGGGGTTGACGGCGGCGGCGGCCTTCTCCTCGGAAAGTGATGGCGAGGACGGCTGGTGAGGTCCCGTGCGGCGGTGACACTCCTTGTAGTGCTCCTCGCATGGTGTGGCTTTGGATGCCCGTCCATGGCTTCCTCCACAAGTTAAGGGGCACCTGACCCTCCATAAGGGGCGGGGCGAATGATTGGCAACGCTACGGCATGGAGGAGGGGAAAAAGCCGTGTAGCCGTGTGAAAGCTGAGGAAGAGGCGGCGAATGGTGGTGGTGGGGAGTTGACTTGGCGTAGACCTTGACATGGTACGGTAGCCTCTGGTGCCGTACTAGGAGATGGGAGGACGTAGAGGGGAACCTTTGCATCTGCTGTCCAACCTCCAAGCCACCGCTGGCCTTTCCACCCAGTTTTGCTGCACCAGCGGTTCGATAGCAGGGCATCAGAACCTTTTTCAGATGTGTCCGGTGGCCCCTAGCTCTCGCAGACGACCCTAGGACAGGGTCCTTTAGGCCGCATTTTTTTGCTCCGGGTACACTTCCGGAAATGGCCCAGACACCTTTTGGGGTTGAGATTTTTCTGTTTCCGATAGTTTTAAGTCCTGAGCTTAGCTTTACTCCGATTTGTCAATCCGTGCTTTCGGGCGGCTTTGGAAGGGCCCTTCCTAACCCGAGCTCCTCGCGGCTCAAGATGTCGTCCGGGGCCTCCGGGGGCAGCCTCAAACCTCCCTCCTTCGGGCAAATCAAGAAAGTCTCTTCAAAATGTTGGGGCATGATTCGGGGTCCGATTCGGGGTGAAGAATCCTGAGCCGCACAGCCATCCACTCTACAACACCCCATTGACCCCAAGTTGGAAGCAGCCAAACAGTGAGGTGGAAGTTCGGTGCTCAACTCACGGAAAGTACGATAGGAACACAGAGGTCGATCGCGGCAGCAGAGGCAGTTAGTGAGGAGTTATCAGCGAGGGGCCTCACCGCCTTACAGGGCCCCCGCAGCGGGGGGGGGGGCCCTTGGCCGGCCGCCGCTCCCGCCACGTCACCACCACGTCACCCCTGCCTCCTTCCCAGCTTCACCTCCGGAGAGCCACTGCGAAATCGCGCGGCTCCGTTTCACAGCTGGGGGGATCCTGACCGGGACTGCTACCGGCAACTGCACTGCTGTCCAAACCAACCCTACCGTAACCCTTTTTCTCCTCCTCTACGGCCGCCCGGCTGTCGGTGATCGGAGCGAGGTCGCCGCGTGAGGCCGCCTCCCCACGGTGATTCGCCAACGGCGCTCGGCACCGGCATCACCTTAGCGCTGTCGCCGCGTGCGCCGCAGGCTTCCCTAGCTAGCTCTGAAAGCATCGGTTAAATGGAACCAATGGACGTTAGCTGGTGTTCCTCACCGCCTGCCCTCCCTGCAGCTAAGCCCGCTAGCCCCCGTGCCCAGTGCCGCGGATATAGCTTTCTATCATATGTGATGATGAAGTGCCCTGTTGAGCATTACCGCGGGAAGGGCGGTAATGATAGCGAAATGGATATTCACAGTTTTTCCTGGCCAGCAGGTTTGGAAATATCTGCCAGACAGGCGTATTTTTACTGATTATCGTCCCATCGTAACATGTTGTAAGGAAGATGGCTACGGTAAAAATAAGTGATCTATCCAGGTCTATCAGATTGCTTTCAAATCGGTTAGCATCTTGCGCTCTTTGAGTTACGTAGTGTTACTTACGAATTTCCGTAAGCTTCCATTTTTGGCGTCCATGGAACCGGCAACTCTGCCCACAAATAAGCGGGGTGCTGCGTGCTCGAGCATGCCCGAAGAGGCGCTACCATACTGGTGCCAAACATCTTGGTGTTTAATTTTCGAGCAACTTGGCTTCCTCGATGTCACTGATAAGATTTGCATCCCAACATCAAAAGGTCTGCCGTATCGAGTTTTTGGTTCCACAGCAGTTATATAGTGGCTGCGCGATAACGTGCGATATCAGCGAACGGGCAAAGGTCAGTCGGCAAGGAACAACGCAAACAGGTACATTGCTATATAGGAAGGGAGAATATTTTTTCCGCGTCCCTTATGACAGAAGCCACCAGTTACTGCTGCCATGCCAATTGTGTACCTTAATAATAACACCTTCGTTTCGCTCGTCTCTTCGAGCGATGTTCCGAGCTGCGAAAAAGCTGCGAAAACAACCTTACGTCTCAGGCCAATGGTTAATTCCTTAACTAGATGTGTGATGCATTTAATTTGGTGTAAACATCGTGGCTTCATGGGATAGCTTTTTTCCATCACAAGTTCAGCCTGTTGCAAACGTCTCGCGGAGCCCGTTCGACAGGCAAGCGCCGCCACTACTCGTCATGCGCCATCACGTCAAGGAAGCTTAATCGCCCTGTACCACGATTAATTTTGTATTATATCCGCACTGCGTTTGGGGATCGGATAGGACTCGTGGAAAACTATAGCGGCTGAGCCTGCGTTCGGTCTGTTCGTATGGACTTCTTCCGGTCGACAGCAGCAGCAGCAATACTTTTGCGTATGCTTCATGAACAATGACGTTAGCATGTTTTATGCTTAATTGGACATCGTGATATTTGCCTAGCTGATGTTATGGGCTGCAATGCAACGCAATACGGGATCTGCATGTGGCTTTGAAGATTGACAAAGGCTACCCATTGCGCGCCGATCTTTCCGGCATTCCATCCACGAAAATTAACTTCAGTGATTTTGATTAGGAGCGGTCAGTTAGTAGTTCATGATTGATAACGTCGGAGCTGCGCACCCACCCGGTCGGCCTACAAGTTTTGCTCAACAGTGATTCAATATAGCATCAAGCGTTATGAAACTTGTATAGTTGAAATCTATGTATTGGCGCCCGCAAAATGCCCTTCAACTACTTTTTCAGCGCATCAGCTGGGGCACGAATACGGACGACCGGGATGCAATTTTACGCTTCTCCGTGATATTTATCATGCCAGTGTAAAGGTTTATATTATAGTTATAAGTCAAAGGTATGGAGGAGGTAGGTGGAAACAGGAGAGTCATCAGGCAGTCACTTAACTCGGAAAGACTTACCGCACGCTAAGATATATAACAAAATCGGGTTTGTTTAATTTCGCAGCTTTTCCGCTGAGACATTCGCGCAGGGCAGTTTTCCGATGTCCATAGGGCCCAGCGGACTGCGCCCACCGTTGCGTTACCGCTGTGAGGTACCATTGAATTCGTGCAAAAATGTCCTGCTTCACTATAGCCTAATTCACTCTATCCCAGAACTGTGACGTTGTACTGGGTTAGATATTCGAATGGGCGTGGCTGAGCTGTCTCCTCAGCCCACCACTGGCGGTCGGGTCAACTAAGCATCCTTACTGCATGCAGCTGCTCATCAAGGGATTAATAGCTTTGTGATAATACTACTGAGACTTTGAAGCTATACCGCATTCTGAAACGCCTGGATCATGGGGAGGACAGCGGCCATCGCCGCTGCCCTTCTCTTGCCGCTGCTCTTAGCGTCAACTGCGGTAGCACAAACATTTCAGCAGCAATGGTGCAACATTCCAAGCTACAACTCGTCGCCTGCGTGCACACCGCGTCTCACGTCATGCACGGTGAGTTGTATGCTTTCAGTAACGGCACAACCTCTAAGCCCTATGCGCTCTAGCGCTATCGAATCGCGTAACATTTCCTTGATTGTTTAGCTGTGCAGCTTTGCATGGGTGCCGCTCCCTTTTTTTGTGGTTGTCTTGACATTGCATTGACTCAGCCTGGCATCTCTTCGCAGCTGGAACACAGTCCGAAAATTTGAGCATGTGATAAATTAAAAAAATTGATAGCAACTATGCGGGAATGTCGGGTTCAGCTCCGCCTGTTTGCGGTCGCTCATTGGTATAGAAACCGACGCAAACTCAGCATGCAGGCAAGCCCCCTTGTAAGGGTCCTTCACCTTTCGTACCATCCAACTTGCTTTACTGCAGACGGTAGACCAATACTACGGGCGGAATGATCCTCGTTTCGACATATGCATGATACCGGGTTATTGGAACGCAAGCGGCTCAGCGTGGCCGTACGCCAAGGTAAGGATGCGCTAGCAATCAAACCTACCTTTATTACCTATCTTTTAATACTGTCCAACGCGAAGTGGGATCCGGGGCTGAGGGGCTGCGCGGCTCTCGCGCGCCATGGGAGTTAGTACGTTGTAACGTTGTTAGACTCCGCTACAAACTTGAATGCGCACGTAGCCTGGGGTGATAGGTGCATTGGATGATCTCCACGCGTTTAACCTTCGTCGCTCGAAATGCTCTTTTTCGCGCATGACTCCTGCGGTGTGCGGGCGTGCTGTTACCAGTCGTGGCTTGGCTTCGCCGTTGCGAGCGATCACGGTGAATGTTCTGGAACAGACTCTGCCAAAAACATGTGCTCATATCAGCTTCTATAGATCAACAAAAGAGCTACGCCAAAGCCAGTTCACGGCTGTGCCAGCGCAACAGGCAGGCGCAGCGGCATAAAACCGTCCATGGCCTTGCGCAGCGAGCTTCAAAAAGCCCGTCATGAGATGCGGCTCCAGAGCTGCTCCAGTCCCGCCCGCAAACAACTACACACACTCATAGGCCATATTCAGACCCTAGGCAATCCTAGCTGTTTGGCGCAGCAAGGGTGACACAACAAGCAAACACGTGTGAAGCCATACGGCGGGACGAAGCGAGCTGTTCCCGACACGGCCCTAAGAAACCCTCAGTCTTAACGCTGGTATGACTTCTTCATCGCTCCTACCGGATACCTGCGGACAAACACGCCATTGGGTTTCGTTCCTCTGTTTTGCCATATCGTCCTGCCATCGTTGCGCTTCAGCCGCGTCAGGGGCTAATAGGCAGTGTGCCCAGATGTCAGGCGCAAGCTTCATTAAAGCCTTGGTTTAGTACCTGTGCACGATAAAAGCTGCCATCGAAATGGTAATCCTTCGCTGGCCAGGCGGAATGACAGGCGGAATGACACCTGCTACGTCGCAGTGGCCATCCTGCTGTCAGTCAGTCATTCAACCAGGCTCCGAAAACATCATGCCAGGTGTTTTGTCCGCCGTGGAGGTGGCCCCTTTTTTAAACGCGCACCTTCGTCAGCGCCATAAACACTAACCAAGCAGCAGCACCCCCAGCATCCAATTATTCTGAAGGGGCGCTGCCGCAGCCGAGCCCAGCGGCCCTTCGCCCAGTCCCCTTCCGCCCCCCTCCCCAGTTACTTGCCACCAGCCTACCCTGTCTTCTTCTCTGCAAGATATAAATAATAAGGGTTTGCCTGCGTGCCTCCTTCCTCCGCGAACACTGTGAGGCGCACCGACCCACCATCACAGTTGCCGCCAACGACATGTCAGCAATATGCCGCCGCCGGCCACCAACATCTCAGATCACCTCCGGCGCCATAACCTCCAGACGTTTGCTACCGGGCGGCAGTTTCAAAATTGCTCTCGACTACTATATGCCTTTACGGAATCGCGAGTTGCGCGGCATGAATGAATTATACAGTCATCTAGCAGTGGATCGAAAAGGATCGTCAAAACCCACTGCATCTACAGCCCACATGACTGTACGGCGTTTACCAGCAACCTGACATCTGCTCATTCTCCTTCTCGAGCTCCTCCCACGTGCTTTATTATCATGCCACTTGCTTCTCTCCTCCTCCTCCTCCTCTTCCTCCTCTTCACCATCACCCTCATCATCACCCTCATGGTCCATCTCATCACCTTTCCCGCGCCCTCCCCCAATCCATCCTTCCCTCTGAACACCCCTCCCTCCAGAACGTCTTCTCGGACGTCTGCGGCGGCCCCGGTGGTGTGCTCGCTGTCCCGCTCAAGAATCGCGCCGCCGCGAACGTCGACTCGACGCCTGTCCTGGGTACCGCCTACATCTACCGCACCTACAGCACCGACATCACCAAGCAGCTCATCTACATCACCGTCGCGCTCAACGGCTCGAACAACAGCGGCACCGGCCAGCTGTTTTACCAGGAGCCCTTCCCACTGGACGCCAACGCTGACGTCACAGAGGATCTCCGCATCGACGTGAGCTCGTCCATCTACATCTGGACCGACGCGGCAAACGTGACTCTGAAGCAGTACGTCAACCCCATGATGTTCACGGGCATCTACAGCTGCTTCACATACGTCTTCAATTTAAGACGCATCTGCGACCCCGTCCGCTCCTACAAGAACCCCGCCAAACGCAACCTAAACGAGGTCTGCACCTGCCGACCGGAATACGCTGGTAACTGCGACCCCATCGACATCTCCGCCGCGCCCTCCATCTTCATCGTCCTCAACGTCAACGGTGTGCCGTACTCCGCAAGCATCCTGCAGAACGCCTCCAACGCCACATGCCCGTCCCCCGTCTCTTCTACCGCTCCCATCGTGCTCACAAACCAGAACTACGTCACTCAATACAGCTTGAGCCCAAGTGCTTGCGCATCGCGCCCGCCGCAGCCGCCCATTCCGCCGCCGCCGCCCTCACCGCCCTCGCCACCCTCACCGCCGCGACCGCCGCCGCCGTCGCCGCCCTTACCTCCCGCGGTACCGCCGCCGCCGCGGCCCCCGCCCGACCTGACCTACTCCGCCACCATCTCCCTCATGACTTTCGACCGTAACCGCATCTTCAGCTCCGGTTACGACTGCTTCGTCGGCCGTAACGCCACTGCCGCTTACTACCGAGGACGCGTAACCGTACAACGCATTCAGTGCGCCATCGTCTCTGTCTACCAATCCGCCTTGGATAACGACTTCGACATGATTCAGTGGACCTACTACTTCAACTCCGTGGACAACCTACGGTACTTCTTCCAGTCCGTAAACATTGAAACGTTCTGGAGTGATCTGTACGACGCCCTCGTGCCCGGTTGCGGCGCCGTCGGCAACTACACGGACTCGTTCTTCAACCGGAACAACGCCCCGCCTGTGCCGCTGGCACAGCAAAACCTGGCCAACCCGCAGCCCTTCTGTTCGTTCGGCGGCGTCTTCTCCCGAGATGATTGCTGGTGAGTGAGTGAGTGAGTGAGTGAGTGAGTGAGTGAGTGAGTGAGTGATTTCAACAACACCAACAGCAGAGGACAGGATGGAGGGGGACAACCTAGATATTGGGCAGCCTAGCTCCAATTTTCCAAGTTAGAGACTGAGACAAACATGGTAACATGGCGATAAACAGAAAGCTACCAAGCTTGGGAGCCTCCAAGATGCCTGGCGCCCTTGGGGGTTTAGGTACTGTGGGGTTGTAGGCATTCTACGTTCATCTACGGTCATGCCGCATGGTCAAGAATGGATATGAAGCAGTGCTTCCGTGCTTCCGTACTTCCGCACTTCCGTACTTCAAGCTCAGACAGATAAGGTCGAGTCCCCAGTGCTTGGGTTTCTGGAGGGGATGAGGGACCCAGGGAGGAGGTCCCGTACATTCTGGAAGCAGTGCAGGAGGTGCAGTTAGCCCGAGGACAAATCCGCAAACCACACACCAACCAACCAACCAGCTAGCCAGCCAGCCAGCCAGCCGACCATTCGAAAAGCCAATTAGCCAGCCACCCAAGCCACTGAACCAATCAACAAACCAGGCATAGAACCCTCTTAGGCAGCCAGGCAGGCAGCCAGGCAGGGCAGAACCTGAAGGAGGAGGAAATCCTTGTCGGAGCGCATTCCGTGGCAGCAGCACACAGCAGCCCTGAAACAAAGATCACCACTAAACATCACCCCTAACTAGGCAATGGAGCAGGGTGCCCCTAAAACTTCGCCCACAAAATCCCTTAAAAGAGGCAGCAGCACCAACCTGATGCTGCAGCTGCTGAGCTTTGGCCCCACTCCGGTCGTGTCACGTGCTGCTGCGCTTTTGGCTGGGCCCCCACTCACCCGCCACTCCCAAAGTAGGGCTCACTGTGTTTCCCGCCCGCATAGATGTGGGACGCATGCAGCCCAGTAAGGGCGTTGATGGGGCCTAGAGGGGGACATACGCGCCCCCAGAATGGACACTTGAAAGCTCGCCTTCTTCAAAACCACACACCTGGTGCGCCCACCACACGCCACTTGACGGCGGCAGGCAGATTCATTAAGCTCCTCGGGCCGTGTCATGGCCCAGGATCAGATTGCACTATGTTGCTGTGCATAGCCGTGTGTGTGTGTGTGTGTGTGTGTGTGTGTGTGTGTCTTTCTGTCTCTGCCAGCAGCAGGACCGTCTGGTTCACTTTCTCTGCGCAGGACTCCAAACCCTTTGCAGGTAAGGCCCCAGCCGAAAAATCTGAAACCCACGTTTCCGCCCTACGATACCTTCCAGGTACACCCTGGACCAGTACCAGTGCCCGTCACCGCCGGCGCCGCCGCCGTCACCGCCTACGCCCAGCCCGCCGCCGGCGCCGCCATCGCCGCCGTCTCCACCGTCGCCGCCATCGCCGCCTCCACTTCCTTGCGCTGTCAACGTTGGCGCGTACTTGTAAGTATGTCCTCCTGCAGTTGTGGATTTGAAATTTCGGGAACGTGCAGTTAAGGGCAGTTTGGGCAATTCGAAGATCTATTTGGGTTTTGGAGAGTCGGGAATCTGGGGAAATTTGGGATTGGAAATTTGGGATTTGGCGGCTTGGGGAGATGGGTATCCGGGAAATTGGGCAGGTGGATGGGCGGCGGCCAGATGGGGCTTACTCGCCCCCCACTGCATTCGAAGACCCAAACCCAGCGGTTCCAGCGGGGCCCCGTCCCCCCGTCCCCCCGTCCCTGCCTGCCAGGCTCCTAGCCCCTAACACCCTCTTTGCATTGTGTGCCGTGCAAGAATCGGAGACCTCCTGCCTAGTGAACCCACTCCCAACTCCCAACTCCTCCTCCTCGCCCTCACCACCTCACCCCACAACCCCGCAGCACCAACCTCCCTGTGGGAACTACCGCCGCCAGCGCCTGCATTGCGCTACGTCTGGCCCTCAACGTCTACACCATGAACACCACCACCTGGTACTGCGATCTAGACCGGTATACGAGCAATTACGTGGCGGTCTACACCACCTTTGCCAACTTCACGGACGCCAACATGTTCTGGGTCAACTTCAACAACACCTTCTTCGCCGTTGCCACGCTCAACCGACTAAACGTAAGTACAATCTGGTGCTTATTTTGAATTACACACGCACCTCGTGGCATTGCGATAAAGCAATACCGGGGGGCAATCTGCCCCGGCATGCAGCTTGGTAGTGTAGGGGTTCTATCCATTCATAGCTGGCCTATTCACACAAGCTCCGGTTTATGTTCCTGAAGTAAAAACTCAGGGTTTTTACTCTTCTTACGTCCGATCTGGGGTTTTGGAGGTTGGAGGTTGGCGGGCGGAGGTTGATGGTTGGTGGTTGACGTCTTTCTAGGTTTAAGATTTGGTGATTAGGAAGGTTAGTAGGGAATTGGGCAATCCCATTAGGCTAGGAAAGGCAGGCGCCGTGTTTCCAGGGCGGGCGCGTAGGACTTTGTTCGCCGTAAGCTTTGTGGTCTTCTGGGAGGGGTGCTGCCAGCGAGGGGGAGGGCTCAGCGGCGTGCGAGTCGTGCGAGTCGTGCGAGTCTGTGCGGGCGCGGAGGGAGCAATTACGCCGGTTACCCCTTGTGTGTCGGTTACTCCAAATCTGGTGAAGTAACCGACGCAGGGAGCTTGTGACCCGGCCCCTGGGTCGCCATTGGTGGGCCGCCGTGTGCCGCCCCTTCCGCCCCTTCTTCCCCTTCTTCCCCTCCTTCCCTCCTCCTCCTCCTTCTCCCCTTCTTCTCCTTCCTGCTCTAATGGTGGCTACTCGACAAAGGAATGATGGAGTTACGGGCGCTGTGACTTTGACGCCCGCAGAGCAGACAAAGAGATAGGCCGGCGAACCGACGTTTGGTGTTTTCATGTGTATATGTATGTGCGTCTGTCCTGCGCATGGCACCATCCGGTCCGGATAAAGGGGTCCGAGTGCTCAGCTTCCATTGCGTCGGGGGCGGAGGCAGGACTTCACACGCCCTTCCAACAACCATCCGAAACACCGTGGAGGGAACAGTGTCCAAATTAGGCAACCCTCCCCGCCCCACGGGCGTCCATCGCTCCAATCCCCACTGCTACTCATGCCTCGGCAAACATTCCCCCACCCGAACCTTAACCCGACGGCACAACCTTCCTGACTTTTTCCTCAGCCCTGCCTTAACTAAAAACATCTGCCCATCTCCTCCCATCTTGCCACCACATCCGATTTCGCAGCCCGACTGCCGTACTTTCCTCCTGGCGACGGGCAGCCCCTCCTGCAACACTTCCGACGTCTATTGGGATGTACGGAACTCGTACTACCCCGTGCTGTCGGACAGCTGCGGCCCCGCGCCGCCACGCCCACCACCCCGCGCCTCCAGCCCCCCGCCTCCAGGTCCGTGTATCGTACACTGTAGTGTAGTGTAGTACACAGCCACGTGATGTCCCACTTTATACGGCCCTACTTTAAAACCGAGCTTTCCCTCACCACCACCAACGGCCAAACGCCCTGTCGGCCAGACGATCTCTACGGGGCGGCCGCTGTGGCCTCAGCTGGGCAGAGAGAGAGAGAGAGAGAGAGAGAGAGAGAGTGTGTGTGTGTGTGTGTGTATGTTCCAGCGTTAGTGAGCTGACACGACATGAGGGCTGATGTTGGAAACGATGGCCACTCGTATCCGGCAGGGAGTTCACACACGGACGATGGGCAGTTCACACATGAAGGCAATCTACTCGGGTCTGTTCTGCTTGAGCACCCAAGCAGGGCCCCCTGGAGAGGTGCTGGGGGTCTGGCTAGGTGGTGACCCAGGAAAAGCACTTTAAGCCCATTTAACACCAGCAGCTAGAGCCAGTGCCAGTGCCAGTGCCAGTGCCTTTCCCCGTAACAGGGGGCCCCAGCGGGGAGTATCTTGACGTTCGGGGGCTGGATGTCAAAGGTTTTGGTAACACACATGCGAAAAAGCTGTGGGAAACCAAACCTGGCAAACGCAAATCAACAAACGCAGATGTGCTTGGCCCCGGCTCCTGAACTGCTGATGTTAATTAATTCTCCAGCTAAAATGACACTAATTTGTTTTCCTCCCTCCCTCCCGGGGATTGTGTCTTCTGATGCCGTGCAACCCCCCAACCCCCACCACACACGCGCACTGCCCCTGCAGTCCCTCCGGTCATCTCGCCGGCTCCCCCCAACTCCTGGCCTCCTGGTGGAGCACCGCCGATCCCTCCGCCACCGCCGTCGTCGCCGCCACCGCCGTACGCTGCTCCCATGGTCTTGACCATCTCCGCCAACCAGCCATACGTCACCGGCATCTGTGCCGCCGCCATCAAGTCCCTCAGCGCCAAGCTCGCCTTCTTCGACAGGTGGGACCCTGGACGGGTGCATTTGGATGGCATGGATGCGAGTCTGCGTGGGCTGCCACGGGTCCTGCTACTGCCCCTGTTGTTGCTGCTGCTGCTGACTGCTACTGCTGCTGACTGCTGCTGCTGATCTGTTTTCGCCGCTGTTTACTTTTGTGTGAGAATGGAGCACTCGGCAGGGGGGTATGGGAGGAGAGGCCGACCGGCCGCTGCTTCAGTACCTGCCAGCTTGTTTCCCTTTCATTCCAGCTCTCCTTTCTTTTCCACTCCGCTACTCTGTTCTCCTCCTCTCCCATGGGAAGACTCCCATCCCTCCCGGACTCTCACCATCGCAATATACACACACGCACAGCACACACACATACCCACACGCACGTACACACGCACACACACACACACACGCACACATACACACACACGCGTGTTCCCATTTTCCCTCAGGCCATTCCAAGGTCCCGTGTGCACGCTGGGGCAAACCATCGCGTATTTCATGGTCGTCACCATCGGCTTCTCGGATTACCGCCACGCCATTTCCTTCGCCATGACGTTCAACTCCGAATTCAATGAGTTCGCCAGTACCATTGGACTCGCGTGCGGTACCACCGGCACCATCCAGGCCAACGGAGCGCTCTACAACCTCGCCTGCCCCAACGTCACTACGTTCTGCTGCAACTCGCCGCCGCGGCCGCCGTTCCCGCCGTCGCCGCGGCCGTCGCCACGGCCGCCGAACGTCCGGTCGCCGCCGCCATCGCCGATGCCGCCATCCCCTGGCTCGCCGACGGAGCCGGGCCTGCCGTTTGCGCCGCGAATACGGAAGCCGCCGCCGCCGCCGCGGCCGCCATCACCGCGGCCGCCGTCGCCAATGCCCCTCGAACCAGCCATGCCTGGAGTGCCGCCTTCGCCGCCACCGCCGGACATCCCCATCCCGCCCGAGTCACCACTCACCCCGCGAATGCCTGCACCCGTCCGCCGTTCGCCCAGGCCGCCGCCGCCCAAGCGGCCTTCACCTCCGCCGCCTCCAAGGAGGTTGAGGCCGCCGCCGCCACCGCCGCAGCAGCCACCATCGCTGCCGCCACCACCGCCACCACCGCCACGGCGCTCACCCCCCCCTGCCCGACAACCGCCGCCCAGCCCACCACCGCCGCCCAGCTCGCCACCGCCGCCGAACCCCGCTGTCAACCCTCAGCTTACACAATATCGTACCATCGCCATCACCACGCCTAGCGTCCTGGCAGGCAACCCAGTCACCACGGACTTGCTGCCCTACCTCTGCACTAACCTCAAGGCTGGCCTGCGCTCCATCTTCACAGTGTACGGCTGGGAGTCCAACCTGCAGTACAGAATTCCGCTGGAATACTGTCCGACCCGGAACCTGCCTAATGGATCTAAGCAGTACAACGTTACAATCCAGCTGACGCCCAGCGCCGCGACGACTCTGATCACGAACCTCAACTCGCCCTCAAACTTCCAGCTGTTCGTTACCGCGACCGACATATTGTGCGCTTCCAAGGTGTCTGTCTTGAAGGTTGCAACGCAAGAGGAGCTCTTTACCAAGTCAAAGGATGTGGCGCCCAACGCGCTTGACCCCGACGATTCGTTCTCCTCATGCGTCCACTCCCTCTTGCTTATGCGCAAATAACGCAGAATTATAAGGGAGCATAACATCTGTACTTGAATGACTCCCTTAAGGGAAGGAAAGGAGAAGATGCGAAACGCGCAAAAAAGTTGAACTTCCACCAACGACGTTTGCCGAGGCCTTTTGCGAGTTCAGCGGCTGGTGTTCATTTGCGTGAAAGAATTTTCCATCCATCTTTTTCGGTCCGGTTTTGGACCAGGCAGGGCCTGCCATAATTGACTGCTGCTGCTGTTCCTGTCGCCGCGCTGGAATGGCTGCTGATGTGCGAGGTTACGCTCTTCCCTCCTGACGGCGTTGGTGACCTCGCTGTCGTCTGTTGGGTCTGTGGGGAAAACAAGAACGGTTGACCGCGCGTGCATCAGCATATGCCTGCTTGACGGCAGCGGAGGAGGCGGAGGCTGCAGAGTTGCTCTCTGTTGCTGGTACTGCTGCTATGTGGGGCTCTTAACAGGTTCCCGCGCTGGCCCCGCAGTGCATGCGCGTCTGTGCAGAGCAAGATGGGTCGTAACGCACTTGTCCATGGGTCCCTTACGCGACACGAGTTACGTCTATGTGCAATTTCTGGCCTTACGAGTAGCGCCGCGCCGCGCAGCAGCTGCAGCTGCAGCTGCAGCAAGATTCTTGGCTTGGCGGCGGCAGCTAAGTAGCAGTAGCGGTGGCGGTGTGTGGGGGGGGAGGGGGGAATTTGGATGGGTGGGACGCGAGCCGGGTAGTGTGGCAGGGGTGGCAATGGACGGCTTTACGCGGGCCTGCATCACCCTGCACACCCGCGCCAACCGACCGCATTACTTGACACGAGGGGTGGGTGCTTGATTGATTGCGATGATTGCCAAGAGCTTCCAAGAGTCCAGCCGAAAGGCGGGCGACAGTTGCCGGGTTGAGCTGCGAGGAGCGGATGGGGTTGCCCTCTTGGGCGTTTGCTGTGCATGTGTGTGCGCGTGCGTGCGGGTTGCGTGCTGGGGGCTGCAGGGGGTTGCGGGAACTGCCATACCAAGTTGTGCCTTGGTAGGTCGCGCGCACATACCAATTGCATCATTACAGATCTGCTGCTGGCTATGCAAAACCTCGACGTTTGTGATACTAACTGCCTGTGCCTGTGTGCGTGTGTGCGTGTGCGTGTGCGTGTGCTACTTCCCGTTTTCGTGCACGTTTTTTGACCGCCTTCTAAGGACGTGTGCGTCAATGCCCTATCAATGAGAAAATCAGTTCGTGCGGCGTCTTACTGGAGCTGAACTGCGGTTCAACGAAGGTCTCCCCTGGGCGTTAATGAATCTTGGGCGTGAATGAGTGCAATCCAAGATGGGCCGTGTCAGGGGGAATCGACCTCCGCGGTATCGGCAAGGGGCGGGGCCGGATGAGGGCCGGATGCAGGGCCGGCTATAAAGACGTAGGCGAGTAGGGACGCAAAAATTCGTTGTTCTTGAGAACGCCGAGAAGCCCTGTGACCCCGCATCCTGACGGCCCCTGACATGCGGAACGGATGTTCCGTACAGGCAGGCAGGCAGGAAGGAAGGCAGGAAGGAAGGATTCGTTCTTGGCCCGGTTGCGACACACGTCACATGGGTTAAGACCCAAGACTCGAGGCTCTCCCCACAACCGATTTCCTTGGCGGGTTGTACTTGACTCATAAACAGACCTGACCTTGCGAACAGGGTGTGGTGCGGTGCGTGCGCTCTCGCAAACCCAAATGTGCACGTATTTATATGCCTGTGTGTACGTGCGAGCGAGCGAGCGGGCGTGTGAACGCACACATGCTCTTTTCTGCGTGTACGATGACTTGACTGCGGTTTTCCTCGCCTATTGGGCGCGTTCAGCTCGGCTTGCTATTACAATTTTTCTGCTGCTGCTGCTGGGGTGGCGGCGGCGGCAGCGGCAGCAGCAGCAGCAGTAGTAGTAGTGAGTGTCCCCAACGCTTGAGAATAACTGCTTGAAAAAGCAGCGACGGCGAAGGCGGCGGCTGGGGAGATGCCGGCACGAGCTCCACAACGACAAAGACAAATGTACATGCGCGTCTTGTCTCCATGCCGGCTGTGTCAGGCCTGTGCACGTATAATGGATTGGCGTTTAACTCGACTAACGCAGCTGCCGGTCTTTTCGAGCGTTACTTGACTGTTTAGGCGTTACATTACTGATGCGCATTGTGCTGTTGTTGTTCTGGTCTGGATGTCATTTCTAGACCTCCCCGTTTGGGCCTGGACGCCGTTCAAATACATTGAACTGGCCAGGAGGTTGGTGCAGCAGCTCGGGTCAGGGCATGCACACACACACACACACACACACACACACACACACACACACACACACACACACACACACACACACACACACACAAACACATACACACATATACATACAAACACAAACACACAGGCGACGGCGTATCGCAAGGATCGTTCAGGTCTTTAGGTACACTTTCAAGCCAAAGCTGCCTGGCTTCCTGCCACATCCCGCCACGTGGTGGTTGATACACGAACTGTACTCGCTGCTGCAACTGTGGACCTCCCAGAGGATGCTCAGAGAGGGATAAAAAGCAATGAGTGGCGAGGGGGAATGGCAGGGCTTTTGCTCTGCAACCTGTGGGCTTGCTGGGGCTTTGGACATGAACGTTTCCGTTGGTCGGTCAATCGGCAGGTCAACCGTGTTGTAGCGTTCGGAAGGCTCTGGGGTGTCCTCTTTCCTTCATTTTCTTCGTTTTCCTTTTTTTTCCTGTTTTTCTTCGCCACCTTTGCCTTCGTCTTTTCCTTCCTCTTCCTTGTTCTTCTTCCGTTCTTCTGTTCTCCATGATTTCAACAAGCCCCAACGCTGCTTACCGCGTGTGCCACGGTGTGCGTTTATACTATGGGATTGGAGTGTAATGGGGTGCGTTCCATGCGTATGGGGTTTTGAAAGGAAAATCGCGAGCCCACACGGCTTCGGGATGCGGGTATGGGTGCGAGCATACGTGATGATTGGCGTGATGATTGGTGGTATGGAAGCTGCCTTGCATGAAGTGTGTTTACTTAAATTAAAAGGCATGAAATCACTGCAAGATGTGTGTGTTGCCGTACCGTTTCTGCTGTTTTGTACGGTGTTTACTACAGGGCGGTTCGCCCTGGTGCATCTGGCGAGAGGAGGAGATGTGGCTCCCGAGGCCCAGGCTGGCAGCCGGGCGAGCTTAAGGTTTTGAACCTTCACCTCGTGCACCAGGCGCAGGACCAACGAATGATCCAATGAACCTAAGTCCGCCATAGAAGTGGCGGCCCGCTTGCAGCGGTGTTTGGGTGGGGCAACTAGGCGCTTCATTGATTGATTCAAAAGAATTATATCGGCCCGGTACGAAGCGGCCTCGCAAGCATCCCCAGAGGTTTGAGAATTGCCGCGACACAGCGTTATAAAGGAGTGGGCGCGGCCTTGGGAGTGGGAGTGCGAGCAGCGCAAGAGTGTGTGCGGGCGCGTCGGGACAGGAGCTGGACGGCGCAACCTATCCGCTTGACCCCCGCAGCTGTGCGCGCATCCATCTCCTGTCTGCCCAAGCGACATCCTCGGGCATCTAAAGAAGAAATCCGTGTGTATGTAATTGTAAACATAAATGTATGACATCCGCCATCAGCGCACGGCCGCTCCAACCCTCACGGCCGCATGGGTAACTAAATCCAAGACAACAGCGAAAAGGGTTGGTGCGCAAGATAGGAATCTACACCGCGTTAATGGAATACACTGTCTAGTGTGCAGCCTGCCGCCAGGAGATGAGTGATAGGAAGGTATTTGGACTTCGACAGCTCCACGGCACAGGAAATCAATATGCGTATACCCAAGCATCGTTCCTGAGCATGGTGCGCAACGTGGGGGAGCACAGGTTAGGAAGGGGGGTTTCTTAGCAAGCTTGCCTTAATAGGTCTCGTTGCTGGCAAGCAATGCCATGTGATAGAACGTATTCATTGTTTAGCATATACAGTTCCCGTGCTGGTCGCCTCAGCCTCAGTCTCCGCGCGCTGTGCGTTCGCAAGCTCCACTGCATGGGTCATGTTTGCATTAAAGCAGGACATCTAATAGATTTATTTTGTTTATACCTGCACCAGTGCCCCTATGGATTATGCGCCCTTTGCTGTATCTTCGCAGTCGACTGTTGCGGTACAACCGGGTTGGTGTTACTGCCAGGAAAGTCGTTTTGTCAGCATCATGTTTAGCGTTTACCTCATACTGTTGTCACTCATAATCACGCTTTTGGCGTCTTGCAACGTCTGGACGCCTTGAGACAGTCGCCACACTAGTTCCCAAGGCTGATAGAAGGCAGATTGTCTCCTTAGATAAAATGCATGAACAGAATGCTCAGGAGCTCAGCAGTATGTCCCGGTCTTGCGTGCTTTGAACTCTGACATGACTTCTGAAAGAGTGTCGCCCTCGCTGGAGGACTAGCACTGCTCATGGTGTCCGAGCAGCGAAGTCCTGCGCCAAATGGTGCCACTGTGGCCCGAATACTGCCTGGCGGCAACGGTCGCAGAACTATCACTCGCGACTATCACCGCCTTATCAACGAGTGCACAGAGAAGCTTCTTTCCAATCCAAAGCATACGTTGGCGATGCGTTTAAGGGCACAGAGCTATCGGATGCTTGGTAAGAGCTGCTGAGTATTGAACCTGACCGAAGGCCGGTTATGAGCGGACACTGTGGTTCGGAGCAAATATCGCCAGGCGTATGACATTTTATTGCTTTTGGCTTTTGTAAAGCCCATGGGGATTCAGCAGTCTTTCAAACGGTCCTAATCGCAGGGGAGGACGACGCCGCGCTGGCGGACTATAACAGTTTACTCGCGTTGGAGCCGACGAATGTGGATGCCCTCTTCTATCGTGGGACCATCCTTGAGCGGCAGCAGCATATTGACGAGGCAATCCAATGTTACACGGCAGTCCTGCAGCAGGAGCCGCAGCATCACAAGGCGCTATACAACCGTGCAGTGTGCTTTAGTGCGAAAGGAAGCTTTTCACAGGCTATAGGTGCGTGCTATGGAAATCGCCTGGTACGCCTTGGGTAGAGGCCGCCGTGGGGTACTCTGACCCCGCTGCTCGTGTTCGTAGCCATTAATCCCCCCGTCTCTGCCTCCCCGACGTCCGCCTGAATTCAATTTCTCCTGTTCCTCACAGAGGACTTCAGCGCCGCCATCGAGCTAGACCAACAAACCTGTAAGGGGACGAGGCGGCTGCGAGACCAGGACCCCGCTCAGCAGCAGCTGGCCAGCTCGCTGGGTGCAGCAGCTGACGCCGCGGCAGCCGCAGCCCTGCACGCCAGCACCCCACAACCCCATACCCTCTCCCAACATGTGCGACAACAGTACGGCGCTGAGGGACACGGGTTATCCAGCAGAACGTCCTTTTCCGACGTCTCCGGCACGGGTTGGGAACGGCTCAACTCTAACACCGGTTCCGACGCACTTTTCGACGAGGAGGTGAGGCTATCCGGTGTTAGCAGCTCTGCCGCCGCGGTGTATGGCGCGGCACACGCAGTCGGCCCAGGTATCCTATTCGCCGCGCAACCCTCTCCTCCCCACACGCAGGGCCATACTGAGGGGCTCGCCTGGGGACCAGGTGCTGGCACAGGCACCGGCACGGTGCTCTCGACGGCACGGTCCCATGCCGGCGCACAGCCAGACCCGCATGCAGCTACGCCAGAGGCGGGCGCTGCATCGCTCAGCCCCAAACAGCATAAACGTGACCTCCACCATCACCCAGATCAGCACGGCCGTAGCTATCGGCAACAGCTGCGACAGCGGCAGCGGTCATCTGGCCTCGGCGAAGACGCAGGGGCGCACGCTGCGCGGCAGCAGGAGCCATCTATTCATGACTCGTTAGGATCATGGCTAGAACCACGGCAGGGCGCTGGATGCTCGGAAGCGGCCTGGACCCAGGCTGCGGACGCTTCCAAACATCACGGCAGCGCTGCAACATCATCAGCGGCTCCTCTGCCGCCGCCCTCGGAAGGCCCTGCATCGGCGCGGCTGCTCGCCACCCTGCAAGGCACCAGGGCGCTGCACTTGCACCAGCAGGCGCAGCGACAGGAGCAACAGCAACAGCAGCAGGCAGAGGATGAGTTTGTGCTTGAGCAGCTGCGAAACATGTTTGTAGCGGCTCAGCAGCACGAGCAGCAATCCACGCTGAGCAGACAAGGGAGCCAACCATTGCAACAGCAGCAAGAACAGCAGCAACAGGCCCAACACGCAGCGGTAGAGAATGGTACGCGAGCGGTTCCTAACGGTGTCCTTCGTGAGGTTCAGGGCCAGGGCTTCAGCAACAACGGTCGTTCACAGACGCCCAAGGGACGGGTGGCAGCCGCTGCGCACCGTGCAGGGCCGGCGGCAGCTCCACATGGCCAGGCGCAGCAGGCACGACTGCACCACCACTCCCGACCGCCGGGCCCAGGGCCCATGCGGGCAGTGCACCCACACGTGCAGGCGCATCGGCATGTGCAGATGCCGGGCCGCAGCGGCGCCCAATCCACTCCCGGCTCCACTCCGCCGGGTCTAGCAAGGGAGCTGCGGTCACCCAGCCCTTTTGAGCGTTTTGTGCAGGACGACCGCAGCCCCGGCGTTGGAGCTGCGGCCGCCGCGTCGGGACAAGCACGCAATCCAGGCAGCCAAAGTTGGGGCGGTGGCAGTGACCGTCACAGCGGTGCGGCACCCACGGCGCTGCCGCCGCACTTACGCCCGCCCCCGAGCATGCTGCCGCATCAGCTACAATACCAGCAACAACAACAGCAGCTGCTGCAGGCGCACCAGGCGGCAACGGCGGTCCGCATGTCCTCGGCGGCACAGCAGCAGCAAAATCAGCAGCAGCAGCACGCAGTGAATTTGCGGGGGACGCGGGCCCCACGGAGCGACGGAGGGGGGGGTCATCAGGACGCGCTGGCGGAGGAGCAACAACCGCCCCAGGGTAACGGTTACCACCCAGAGCTCGTCCATCGGCTGCAGAACGGAGCCCATCGCGACTCATTGCAAGTCAAGGGCACGGCTGCTTCTCCGTCGTCTGCTCTGGTGGCATACGGGAGCAGCGAGGTGGGTGACGGCTTGGCGGCTATGGTCGCCGCCGCCAGACGCAGCGGCGGTGGCGACGCCGGCAGTGGTGCGCCGGAGTCGACTGGGCCGGCAAGTAACGACGGCGCGTGCTCACTGGATCCGTGGTCCATGGGCGGCCATGGCGGCATGGTGGCGGCAGTGGAGATGTCCCGCCCGTCGACGTCCTCCAGCGCAGCGTCGGACGCAACCGACCAGAGCAGCAGGTGGGGCCAGCGCGTTTGTAAAGAGAAGCTATACCTCGGAACTGAGCCGGCCGTTGGAATTGCAGGGCGATGTGGGTGTTTGTAGTTGTGTGGGCCTCTAGAGCTCTCGCTGCTGCCAGCTGGCAAAGAGGGCGTTCCGGTGTCCGACTTGGGGCCGTCGCCTCCTTGGGGGCCGTGAGGAAACGATGGGGGGACTTGGACTGGGGCCCTCTCCAAGGGGGGGGGGCCCAGAATGCTGGAAGCTTTACTCGTGCAGGACGGAGGTAGGCAGGCAGGGGCCAGCTCAATTATCAAATTGCTTCCATCTGGCCGGTGGGGGTTAGCCGATGTCACCAGTGGTCCGCGCAGCTGAAGTGATAGTGGGGCGCCGCAGGGGCTTCGCCATGGGAAGGACGGAGCCCGGAAACACAATAATTTTTAACCAGCGCGGCGCTCCGGAACCAGTCCAGGCAAAGGATTCTGTTAAGTGTAAACAAATATATGTCAAGTGTAAAGCTGTAAGTGGTGAAGTCCACTTTATAGCGCTGTTTCTGTGACGCCTCGCCTTTCTCAAGCTTTTATCCGCACCTATAGCTTTCTTCATACAGTTGTTTCATGCCAGCGCTGGCCCTTTCCCTTCCCGCAGGCATAAGGCGATTGAGCAGTACAACTTGCGCGCCTTTGCACTACGTCAACAGGGCAAGTTGGTGGAGGCAGTGCGGGAATACACGCGCGCGTTGGAGCTGGATTCCAACCACTTTAAAACGCTCTTCAACCGGGGCTTCACGTATGATAGGGTGAGTGGGGCCCTCTGTCCTAGATGAGACAGCGCGTGCCGCCCCCGCGCAGGGGCATGGATGGCTTTCACGCCTTCCCCCGGTAAAGGCGGCCGGCACGTCGACAGCAGGTCGACACATGGGCCCGGGGCCGGGGGCGCGGCCTGGTGCGTCCGTTTGTTTGTAATGCGCAATGCAGGACTGCGTTGCGCGGTGGTGCTGCTCATGTAGTAATTGTTTGCGCTGTGGGCCGTGTCGAGGCCTCTGCTCAACCCATTAGCTCTTTTTTCCCGGTAGTCCCAGTTGACATCTTTTTTCGTCCGTTTTGTCCGTTTTGTCTGTCCGTTATGTTGTCTCGCCGGTATACGTCATATGCTTCTTGTGCTGGTGTCACACGTTATTGTGTCGGTATGGTGTAGGCGCCCTATGTGTGCTTGCACTGGATCGGCCGGTGCTACCTTTTGCTCTTGTGCACATGAACACACGCACAAATACACAGATACACACGCACGCGCGCGCGTATGTTGTGTTGTCACGCGAGCCGTCTGTCCATCCCTGCACCCTTTCGTCGCATCACATCCCAAACCACCCAACCCCACCCCGCTGAAGTTGGGGGAGCTGGAAGCGGCGGTGGAGGACTACACGGCGGCGCTACAAGTAGACCCGCAGAGCTCGTATGCGCACTACAATCGCGGCATCACGAGAGACCGCCTGCAGGTGGGAGTGGCCTTGGCTTGCGGGTAACGCGGCATCAGGGCGCCGGGCGGCTGTGGAATTGTTAAGGCGAATTAAGGGTTATCCGCTGGTTATCCGGGGTTGTTAAAGTCGGCGGCTTCACCCCGGCCGGCGCTGGTTGGTGCCGGTGCCTCGGGTGCCGTACTGTCGCTTTATTATGGCTCTGTGACCAATATGATGTATAATATTGGAAAATGGTTCAAATGCTACACCGGGGTAACGGGGCCGAGTGGAGGTTGCCTGGGAGATAGATAGGGAGATAGATAGTAGGTAGAGAAAGGGAGAGAGAGAGAAAACACACAGAGCGGACACCGCTTTACTTGGGCTCCACAGGATTTTGCCGGAGCCGTGGCTGACTTCACCGCTGCAATATGCTTGGAGCCCAACAGTGCGGACTTCTATCACAACAGGGGCTTTGCGCTCAGGAAACAGGTGCGACATATGCGGTGCGGTGTATGGCGTTGTGCGGGTTTACATTGCCGCTGCCGGTCACGCGCCCTCGCAGCGCACGCAGGCGCGCAGCCCTGTGTGCGCAACATGCGGGGATGTAGATAACAGCAGCTCCAAGTTTAGATAACAGTTGGCCGGACCAGGCTCTGGCTAATAAAAGGATGCATGCACGATGAATGAACGGTTGAAGAGGCCATTGCCTTGCACATGCACACGCCACTGGCAGCTCCACCCGCATCCACGTGTACAAGGCGGTAGAGAATGTGAGAGGAGTTGCGATCTATTGGCCACCAGTGCATCAGATGCACTACTACTCCCCCTCCTGCTCCCCCTCCCCCTCCTGCTCCCTCCTACCCCTCCTCCTACCCCTCCTCCTACCCCTCCTCCTACCCCACCTCCTACCCCTCCTCCTACCCCTCCTCCTACCCCTCCTCCTACCCCTCCTCCTACCCCTCCTCCTCCTACCCCTCCTACTACGAGTGACCCTCTCGGATTCATTCGGCTGCGCCATTCTTGACCCAGCCCTAGGCGAGCTGGCTGTCCTTGTTTGGTGCTGGACGTGACGCAGATGTAGAGACACTGCTATGATTGGCTGACTGACTGACTGACCGACTGACGGGTTGGTTTTCTCTCGGGTCGCAGGGTATGTTTGAGGCGGCCGTCCAGGATTACACCATGGCCATCAAGCTCAACCCCAACCACTGCCGGGCCTATTACAATCGGGCCTTCTGCCACGACCGACTTAACCACGTGCAGCAGGTGCGTGTGGCCGTGTGGGGCGGACGTGCTGTAGACGGGCAGCTCCGTAATGAGCTCCTTGGAACATATGCAGAACCCGTGTATTGCCTCGGTGGTGAGAGGCCCGCTGCCTGATCCCCTGCTCTCGCTTACCCCCGTTGCCCCCGTTGCTGTCCGCTGCCGTGCTCCACCGTGTCGGACCAGGCTATTGACGACTACACCAAGGCGCTGGAGATGGAGCCCAACAACGCAACGGCGCTGCTCAACAGGGGCAGCCTGCACGAGCGGAACGGCAGGTACGTGACCGCGTAGGAGGTAGCAGCCCCCGTCCCAAGGGCAACCCGGCTGTAGCATTGGGGTATCATTGGTTGGGGGGTCTGGAAGGAGAAACGACGCGGTGTATGCGGGTCTCATGACCCTCATATAGCGGACGGAAGGGGCAGCTGACGTGGAGACATGGAGACGATAGCACCGTAGCACCTTTGAGTTGTCCGGCAGACCCGCTACACCTCTTGGCTGTATGACGATTTCCACCGTCAACGATTTATGGCTCTTTCCCCTACATGTTGCAGCTGCAACTCCCGCCTCCCGCCGTCTTTCCCCTGGGCCCCCCCCGCCCGCCCGCAGGTCAGATATGGCCCTCCAGGATTTTGATCGCGCCATCATGGGTGATCCCAACTGCGCACAGTCGTACAACGCCCGTGGCGTGCTCTTGCAGCACCTCGGTCGGCTGGAGGAGGCGCAGTCGGATCTGGACATGGCGGTAGTGCTCATGCAGCCCCCCAGCGCCTTGCTGTTCCGGAACCGAGCGCAAGTGCGGCGGGAACGTGGCGACCACTACGGTGCAGTACAGGCGGGTCCTGGGATTCGATCGGGGGTTTCTTGGGCGTAGTGCGCGATTTCCAAGCATTTCTTTTCCAGTCTCCTGGGACTCAGAGAACTTGATTTACGGCAAAGCCAATCTTACCTCCGCCACTTTTATAATTAATAATTAATACTTCCCTTTTTCTGTGATCGTACGCAGGACCTGACTCGCGCCATTTCCTTGGATCCAGGGGACCTTCTCAGCTATAGCCGCCGGGCGCACTGCTTTCGCCGAATGGGCGAGTACGAGAGCGCTATTCGGGACTACACAAGGGTGGGTGGGGAGAAGGGTTGTCTGATGATATTGCCCGTTCATTTGCCGGCTGCCCAGCTGGTAGAGGCCAAAGGGCCCGATAGGTTAGCCGCAGCTCCGGGCTGTTGCACGGACGTTGAAAGGACGCGGGGCGAGGCGGGACAAGATGCCAAATTCGGAAGGGGGAGTTCAGGGTGTATTTGTCTGATGCGCTATTTGGTAGAGTTGTTTATGCTCTAATGGGTCACAGGACAGATCCTAGAGTGCCAAGTGCCGTCCTGTTGCCCCGCAGGCGATCACACTTTCGCCTAACAATCCCAAGCTGCACACCATCCGCGCCTACTGCTATGCCATGATTGAATGGTACAATGAGGCGGTGATGGACTACGATATCGTTATCTCCTTGGAACCTGGCAATGCGCACGCCAGTTACAATCGATCCATCGCACTGGAAAAACTGGGAGGTGCGCTCGATCGCACGGCTGCTGAGATGTCTGCGGCTGCAGGCGGCGGCGGCGCCGCCGCCGCAGTCGCCCCATCCGACCGCTTACGACAGTCGGTCACCGCCGCCGCCGCTGTCCACGTGAGCAACGGCCGCGGCCACGGCCACGGAGCCGTGATGGGCGCCGAGCAGGCCGTAGAGTCGTACGAGTTTGCTGCCAGCACCGGCGGAGCCACATCTGCGGGATTGGGTAATGCCGGGATAGTGGCGACTGTGGCAACGGCTGCTACAGCGCCCGGCAGTAGCGGCGGTGGAGTGCAGTGGTCGGGTCAGGGTTTTCCGCTGCCCAGGCAAGCCTGGGCGTCAATGGATGGCCGCTATAGCCTCCAGCAGCAGCAGCAACAGCAAGCAGGGCCCTCGGGTGCTCCGGTAGCCCGCTCGAGTACGGGTAGCGCAGGTCCACTCCGTGGCCCAAGCCCGATGCGGAGCGGCGCAACGGGTGCGCCGCCGCCGCCGCTGCCGATGGCCGCAACTGGTGGGACCAGCCGCAATGGTGCGATGTGGGGTCCAGGCCACCCTAGCGCCGTCGCTGCAGCGCAGGCCGCCGCAGCTCAGAAACGACATCTTCAGAGCAGCAGCCCTGGGAGCAGTGGTGGCGGCGGTAGCAGCAGCAGCACCCTGTATGGCAGCCAGCAACCTTACCCACAGCAGCAACAACAACGGCAGCAGCACCAGCAGCACCAGCAACAACAGCAATGGACAGCGCAAGGCGGCGCTGTGGCACCGGTGGGGTCGGACGCCGGCATGGGTTACTCCGGCCATGCTGTTCCAGGGGGACGCAGCCGCACGCCCCACCGTGTGGTGGCTGTTCCGTAGAATGCCACGTGTGCATGGGACAATTTGGCCCGCTGGGCATCTCTCGGTTACCTCTTTTCCTCTTCTTCTCTTTCCATTTGACCCCGGCGGCTCGCGTGTCTAGCGCGGGCCTTTGGGAGCGTTTTCGGTCTCTTCAGCGTGCCAAGGTATTATAGATAGTGCACCTGCGAACCCGCGACCCGCCAGAAGCGGGTCAGGGGGCTTAAATACATGATACTGGCGATTCACCCGCCCTAAAGGTGGCGATTAAATTCAAGAGTTAAGTTTTTGAATTTGCTTGTCCAGGAAGAGCATATACTGTTTTTATGTGATGGTCATGTTGATCGATGAGAGAGAGAATCCAGAGCATTGAGGGTATTCGTACTTACTGAGGTAGGTAGTGGCTGGTGACCTGGTAGGTAGGTAAGTAGGTACGTAGGTAGTACTCCATGAGAGACGCGTGGGGGAAAGGATGAGATAGAAGTTCCGGCGTTTACCCCTGTATGTGTAGGGGGATTCAAACCGGGAGAGTTGGACGGCGGTGGGAAGGTGGTTGCTGCTGCGGGTTGCGCAAGGCTGATGTGAAAGATGGTGTCGGGGCAGAGGAGGTTACTGAGGAGCAATTTCCGCTGGATGTGGATGGGTGTGCAGCTCACTTGCCGCCGCCCGCTGGCCAGCTAGGGTGCGGAGGAGAGGAGAAATCAAAGGAACCACGAGGTGATTGTTGGGATTTGGAACGCTGGATGCCGTATGCGCTTGTCACTGCGTTGAGGAAGCCAGCTCAGATCACCACCCTGCACCACTCGGAACACACAAAACTTTGAGATTGGCGCGCACGATTCCGCCCATAATGGTTTTCGGCTGGCATCCGCCCTGCCTGCCTGCGAGAGATTTCCTAGATGGAATTGTATTGTTGATGGAGGTGTTTTGTCTTGTCGAGGGACCGGAGAAAGGCAGGTTCGCGCTTTGTAGCCAGTGGCAGCATCAGCAGCCGTCATCACCCCTTCCACCGGCGGAATGGCATGTCCAGGAGGTATGCATGTGAGTCCTATCGCGTGCATGGTTAAGACTCGTGTTGCAGCGGCTGCAAGTGGCAGTGGTGCGCGCTGCGACGCCGATGGCGAGGGAAGTGCTTGCTTGGGGTGGGGGTGGTGGTGGGTTTGTTGCCGGGCTAATTAGGGGCCGACGTGTCCTTGTCGCACCATTCCGCCGCCTGCAATCGTCTGCATTGGGGCGTTTAGGAGGCGTCGCCGCAAGGCAGGTGGATGCAAGACTCTTGACTTACACGGACATGCCGACTCTGTCCTACACCCCCTCTCCCGCCCCCACAAGCACACCGCTGGCGTGCGCAGCAAGGCAAGATAACGTTGCCATGCGTACTTTGTCAAGTTTCGCTAGCGCCCCGACGGCTGTTAAGGTCCGATGCCTGGGACTTCCCCAGCCTCTGTGCATCCCCGATGGTTCCATCCTGTGCAGTGCGCGTGTGTGGGTGGGCCTAGCGGCCCACGCAAATCTGTACAGAAAGGCTTTTGGCTCTTGCCCAATCGCATTCCCTACAGCCTTGCTAGGTTGACCTAAATCGCGCACAAGTTGGACGGGCCGGACACCTCCCGGGATGTAAGCCAACCAGCCCCGTCGGGTGGGGATGAATGAATGGTGTTAGTTGGGCCTCGCGGCCTTTTGCGTACTTATCGTCGCCATCGTCGTTTCGTGTCTTGATCGTCAGGTGTGGGCTGGTGGAACACTTTGCATGGTAGTGATGTTGTGCGAACAGGTTGACGGATGAACGGACCTTGCCTTGTTTTTTGTTTTCGTTCGAGTGGCGACTGTGGGTTATTTTGCACCATGTTTTTACGCGCGCATATTTCTGCACACTTGTGGTTGCGCAGAGAGCAAGTTGCGCGAGGGGCACAGTGTGCGTAGGCCACTAGCGGAGGGCGCATTACAGAAAATCGTACCTTTAGCTTTTGTTGTTCGTTTTTTTATCGGTTTGTGTCGGTGCCGTCTCAGGTTGGGGGAGGGCGTCCGAGGCCAAGGCTGAAGATCTGTCTGGATGGCCCAAGATGTCAAGGGCACAGCGCCACCTCGTCTGTAGGTTCAGCCTGCACGTCGTTATAGGCGTGTGCTCAAGCTACCGTCTGGGGTGGTCAGCCGTCTTTGGGGTCTGGGCTGGGCTTCCTGAGCAGCTGGGCCCGCGGGCTGGGTAGAAGTTGGCGAGTAACCGCACGACATGTTAGTCTGCATCCAGTCTGCAGGGAGGCGAATTGCCACAAGGGGCTTCTTTCTTTCCTGCACGAGCCCATTGCCAGGCCTATGGCAGCTCGATAGTTCAAAGACTAGCTGGACGGGCGGGTGGCGTTAGCCGAGTTGTTTGCGCATTCTGCGTGCGGCACATTGTGTTGTGGCTTGGGGGGGGCCGTTTCTCGCTCGGTACACTGGGGACGTACGCGCAAAGTGCAATTGCCTTTATTGACCCAAGAAGTTTGTTGGCTGTCTTTGGAACTTGTTTGTATTTTGATACCATTGATCACACACCATCCATTGATGGGTAGCAAAGGCTTGCGCTGCATGGCTGTTCTTGGTGCGCGTTAAACGAAATCCGTGCTGGGTTCAGGCGGTGCTGTAAAATGCGTCTGATGATGGCGCTCACCCCGGTAAATGGATGCCGGTTTGTGTCTACGCCCAAAAGGCTTAGGGTTTTTTGCGGCATGTGGGGTGCTTGAACATATGATTAAATTTGCTGGCTGGAGGGCGCTTGGTGGGTGCGCTGCAGCATGAGGCTTTTTCGCCCTATATGTGCCATACTTATTTGCAATGGGCGGGATGGAGGGTGTGATAACCTGGACAGCAGGGACGGAGTTCGTGTCTTGTGCGCGTACATTGATTTGCTAGGCTGGTTTGTGCCACAGCGTCTGCACCAAGATATGTTGTTGGTGCGGATTTGGCAGGGTTGTCGCTTCCTGTCATGCCTTTTGGGTCTGTACCCTCGGCCAGCCAGTGGCCTCGGCCAGATCCCATGTAACTATCGTCATGATAACATCATGACGCCTGCCGACGGCCATCAATGCCAGGGCAGTAAAATATATGGCGCGGCTCTCGGTGGGCGAGACGAGGCCATTTAAAAGGGCACATAAAATTAGTCCCAGACGCAGTAAAGTTCAAACTATGTTGTGCGCAGTCCGCAGCAGCACACCCGCGAACGAGGTAGTCCGGGGCCCCTGCGCTGCTTTCTATCCACACGGATAGGACTTTTTGGCGCGCTGCTGAAACCTACCCCCGCAACATCACTTGCACCGCCGTGTCAGCACCTGACGCTACCGCGGCTATCCATCCCCATTCCAGGTGCGCTGCCCTGGCCCCGCTCTGCGGCCGCAGCGGAATTCTTGAGGTGTTGCGGCAGCTGCAAGACTGTGTGTTCCAGGCTGTACACCGCGGACTGCCAGGGGTTGCCGCGATCTCGGTACATGGGCCGGAGTACGGCTTCCATCCAGGTGCCCTCCGGGCCACTTTGCTCGGACAGCCAGCGCAGCTGCAAATGGCCGGGTGAGACGTCAACAAGGCGACGCATGTTGGCTTCAGGCGCATATGCAGTGGACTGTGCGGTCCAAGCTCGGAAGATGTCTGGAGAATAGAAGTGTGCCGCTGTGGAAACACGTATGTCTACGTGCACATAGAAGTTGATGTGACAAGGACGAAGCGAAGACTGCTCCTTGCAGGTATCGAAGGAGGATGTGATATGCACAAATCGACTTACAGTTACCGGAAAGTGGGCAAAGCAAACAAAAGGCGGCGCAGTCAAGTCAAAGGGGTTCCGCCAGCTGCCCGCCACCACCACAACGGGGCCAGCGGGGTGGTGGTGGAAACAGGTTAACAAGCAATGCTAACTACACTTGCAAGTGTGGACCCGGGTGAAATGTGGTGCTCATGCGTGTTCAACCAGAGGGAAACTTAGAGTTCGATCGAAGCCGCGTTGCAAGAAAGCAAGATCTATGTTTCTCGTGGTGCACGTGCGAATGTGCGAAGCTCGTGCATCTGTGTATGCCATGTAGGGCTGTGTGAAGTGCTCGGGGTGTCGGGACCCTACCCATGGGGAGGTGCAAGGGTGCGGCGGCACATAGTGTATTCACTTGGACAAGGCAGGCCTAGGACCCGTATGATGCACTGCACTCTCCGGCGTTCCAGTTCTCGACATCGGAAGACAACCTAACAGGCGCTCGGTCCCACCCACCGCCATGAAGAGCTTGTCCCAGTCGTCAAGGCCCGCCTGTCCGCACTGCTGACCTGGCTCCTCCCGTTGAGCTGGAGGCACCGCCGTTGCCGCTGCATCGGGAGCCGCCGTTGCCGGCGCTGCCGCTGCATCGGGAGCCACTGCCGGGACAGCAGCAGCCATCTTGGCCCTGGACCGAGTCATGACGCGCAGGGGGTTTGACTGGCTGACCGCAGAAGATTGCAGCTGTGACTCCGACTGCTGTTGCGGTGGCCGCTGCTGGCCCTGCCAAGTTGCTGCAGCGCGGGCGGCGACGTCTCCGCTGGGCGGCGGCAAGTCCCACAGAAACAGGTTTGCTGCACCCCCGAGCACTACAGCACGCAGTGAGGCTGTGGCGGCGCGTTTGGGGGGGGGGCTTATAAGCTGCATTGTCACCGTATTGCGTTTTCGTATACCTGAAGTACGCGGCTATCAATACGCCATTAATTCGCCTGCGGGGTGTCTGGTTTACAGGCCGACGCACTACTGGCGCATTGGTTGCGCTGATGGCCGCACATCGCTTGAAAACGCTAAATTGCAACGCAAATGCATGTGTGAGGCACTACTTCATGGCTGTGAGCTCAATGTCTTGCGGGAGAACTTTTCCTGGTTTGATTGGACAAAGAACCCTCTCTGATTGGACAAAGAAGCCTCTCAGTTTCGAGTTGAGAGCCATGGTCCATGTGCATTCGCGGGTTCGGTTTAGAGGGCACGACCCTAAGACAGGGCTGTAGGGCTTCAGCAGATGTGCAGGTGAGTGGTGGGGGCCCGCCGTACCCGTCGCGTCCTGAAGCAGCAGTGCCAGCGCGAAGGTGCGGCCATTGCCGGACCGGTCTAGCTGTGTCCCCACCTGCTGGCCAAAGGGGGTTTTGAAAAGCGAAAAAGTGTTCAGGAAAGGCCGCGGAAAGGACAGACCCGGGCCACAGCAGCGGCGTACCAGCTTCCATTGACACAGCAGCAGGCGGCCAAATCAGTTTTTTTCGGCAAGGACGTCCCAGGAGGCTGCAACCCCGTGCAAGTACAAGTCCCGACCGCCAGCGACCGGCCGGCTGTACAGCCAGTCCACGACCGGAGGCTGCGCCGTGAGGTAGAAAGGAGTGACGAAGCGAGCTTGGCGACGTGACTCGATTCGGGTTCCCTCTAAGAGCCCCGTGGCGCAACAAATGGTATTTCGGGGGTTAGGACACGAGTGCTGCGGGGCGCCAAACCAAGAGGGGACCCCGCAGCGCCCGTGACTCTTCCCATCAGCCCAACCACCTACCCACCACTTCCTGCTCGCACCGTAGTGCAGCAGCTGGCAGCACCGCCCTCAGCAATGAGGTCCGGAGCTGATGTGCCGCTGGGCTGGTGCTATCCACGCTGACGTCGCTGCGGTCTTGACCAGACGGTGTTGTAGAAGCCCGTGGCCCTGTGCTTGCGGCCACTGCTGACACCGCTGGTGATGGCGGTGGTGGCAGGGGGGGATTCAGCACCGCCATGACTCGGACCAGGACTCTCGCTGGTGTGCAGTCGCAGGTGTCCTGCTGCATGAGCACCTGTTGCATGATGGTGTGATGGAGGTGGTTGTGGTCGGTTGGGAGGGGGCTGCCGCAGCAGTTCCGGGTGAACAGCTAACTACTTGGTGGATTGTCCGCTGCCTATGTTGGCATCCTACTGCCTACTGCCTACCTCTCGCACTTTTTCCCTTCCTACCGTTCTTATTTGCGTTATGAGTCAAATGATGTTATACTATGAGTCATATGATGTTATACTATGAGTCAAACGATGTATGGCGCACAGACCCACCTGGCGAAGAGTGCGGAGCGGCAGGGCCCGCCAGGGGTGGCACACGCCTAGGGAGGTGCGGGGACAGAGGGGCAGCCGAGGGCACCGCAAAAAGGCAAACGACGACGAGGAGGAGGAGGAGGAGGTGGAGGTGGAGGAGGAGGAGGACCCCGCTTGGCTCAATTTCACCATCAAACTACAAAATGCGATCGAGAATGCAGTCGAGAAGCAGCACATGGCGAAACATGTCCACCGCCCTCTAGAGGACACAAGCACGTCGTACACTCTACCACGACACCGCGGAGGCCCCTGTAACCGACAAAAAGTAATGCCAGGCACCCGGTCCGCATCACCCACACACGTTGACTCACGTGCCAACCAGGAACTGGGGTCACGCGGCGCGGCGTTCTGAAGGGGAAAAGGGGAGGGCTGTCCACCCGCTCCGCCGCGTTGCTGAGGGGGATTTTGCGCAGGGTGCTCCCCACGGCTCTCCCCGGCCGTGGGGGCACCCGCGTTGCGAACCCCGGGTCGGTGGTCGAGGCTGCTGCGCTCCGCAAATAGCAGCTGCAGCTGGCCCTGCATCGACACGCACGCATTGAGAACCCGCACAGGGTCGGAAGGAAGGTGGAGAAAGCGGCACGGAAAGGGAGGGGACGATCACTCGGGCCGACGGGCATTGCGGAACTATTGCCCCTCCAGCGGCCTCACCTCCCTCGCGGCAAACCGAAAGGCAACTACCTACTCTGCCTGCAGATACCTTTGCCGCACGCGCGCGCGCAGGGGCCCACCTGCACGAATCGCGGCACCATGTCCTTGAGCTTGATCCAGTCCCCAGGCCGCGGGAGGGGCTGCGGATTTCGAACCCACCCAACCGCTGAAGCCGGTGGCGGTGTTGGCCCTGGGCGGAACATGAGGGCGGGCAGCAGCAGCGGCACAGCGCTGCCTTCCTGCAGACCGGCAGGATGACGGTCAGACGGGCTTGTAACTTGCACGTCAGGAGATAAAGGGCAGAGCTTCCGAGGCAGAACGGCGCCCAGCCCCCTCCCTTCCCCAGCCCCCTCCCTTCCCCAGCCCCCTCCCTTCCCCAGCCCCCTCCCTTCCCCNC